CAAAATTTCAGCTGGGCATGTGACCAAGTTCTGGTTGATAAAATGTGAGTGAATTTTGTGAGGCCTTTGAGGAGGCATCCTTAAATGGAGAAGGCACACCTTCTTACTCTCTCCTTCTCCTCGCTGGCTGGAATGTAGACACGACGGATGGAGACTAAGCAATCACTCAGGACCAGGAGGTAGAATCCATATGTTAAGGATGGCAGGAAAGCAAGGGAGGAGAAGATCACATGCCTGACCATTGTGTAAAAACATCATTAGCCTCAGACTGCCCATCTGTTAACTTCTTGTACCCAACGGAGAAATAAAGTTTTATCTTTTAAAAACCAGTATTATTTTGGATTGTCTTGCAGCCAAAGCTAATCCTAACCGATACAGTCAGAAAAATATTTCTTTCAAAATATTCCTGTTGTAAGTGAAACTGATAAAGGGAAACCTCACTAATGTGGAGCTAGGAGGCTAGAAAGGGGAACCATACCACTGTTATCAATTCCAGGAAGAATCATCACTCACAGACCCCAGCAGAGGCACCCGTAACAGGAGGGAATCATGACTACAGACCCAACAGATGCTGCATCTCCTACGAGGAATCTGCTACCCCAGCAACTCTGCCAGTAAGGAACCACCCTCACCCTGAGCTCTTGCTTTTCTCCAGTGGCCTTCTGTTCAGGACAGCCCCTCCCAACGTCTTCTTCCTTCTCCATAAAATAATGCTCTCCTTTCTTTGTTGGACTTGTCTGTGGTTTTGCTATGGCTTGCATGTCCCAAATTGTAATTCTCTGCTATTCCTGAATAAACCTATTCTGCTGGCACAATAACTGGCTGTTTTATTTTTTTGGTTAACATATATGAGGGGAGTCTGGCATGGTACCAAGTCCAATTTTGGGTGGTGATGGTTAAATGACAGAACTGCAGGTATTCTAAATTTTCCTCCAAGGCTGTGAGCATGAGAAGTTTTTTTGTTTTTTAAGATTTTGTTTATTTATTTGAGAGAGAGAGGAGAGAGAGAGAGAACAAGCAGGGGGGAGGAGCAGAGGGAGAGGGAGAAGCAGGTTCCCCACTGAGTAAGGAGCCTGATGTGGGGCTTGATCCTAGGACCCTGGGATCATGACCTGAGCCAAAAGTAGACACTTAATGGACTGAGCCCAGGAACCCTGAAAAGGTTAACAAAATAAAAGTGTGAGTGTGAATAGTGTGGGGTGGGGGTTGGGGGGCTAGAGGTCAAGGGAAGAGGCTCTGAGAACCAACATCCCTGGGAAGTCTGCAAAGAGGGCGAAGCAGAGCCAGGGAGGTAAGTAAGAGACTGTGCATCTGAGAAGAGAAACTGACTTTTAGATGGCACAGATAGGGAGAGCTGGGGTGCTGGTTTCAAAAGGACAACCCAGGTCACCTGCTGGAGCTCGAGGGGCTCGGTTCCCAATAGCCAGGTGTTAGGGCCTTCACATTCTTTCCTTGAGGAGTCATCATACTCTCTGAGCCTTGGGCCCTGTGAGCAGAGCACCTGCCTGGGCCAGATCAGATAATAACAGGTCTGTCTTTTGAAGATGCGTGGAGAAGAGCCACAACCACTGTCAAGAATTGGTAAACGTGAGCTGAGTCTTCCTGGGTATTAGCATTTCTATGGTTAATAGTACTTACCCAGTTTACTGGGCACCCAGCACTTGCCAGGTACTTCATATACATCACCTTACTTAATCTTTCTTCAGTTCTTCAGGGTAAATATTTTAAAACCTACTTGAAACTCACAGAAGTAACTTGCCGAAGGTTACAGAGCTAACAAATGACATTTATGCAGGGCTTTAAATAATAAATGGTAATAAACAAAGTAATCCTGTTTTAAAATGCTTCTTCAACCTTTCAAAAAAGAATTCCATTTAACAATTGAGTGAGTTACTTGAAAGACGGTGACTCAGTTTAAAGGAATGTGCCAGCATTTCTCCTACAAGTGGGATGATGACACCCTAACAAATCTATTTTATATCTGCATGGTCCCCTCCCTCCCAGCCAACTGGGGCTCTCACAGCAGTAGGACACAGGCTCATAAGGTGACCTAAGCCTGATGGGGACAGGGAGAGAAGCTGGAGGCCAGCTGTTGTGGGGAGCAGGAGCATAGTTGGCCCCTCTCATGGGAGGCAGCTGAGGGTGATGGGGAGGGCACAGGGCCTGGGGTCCAGCAGGCTCAGGGGTGAGGTAAGACCTTGCCACTGACCAACATCTGCTGGAGTCTCTTCCCATAACTGAGAGGGCAATCACATCACATTCAGAGTTGTTATGAGCATGAGGAGGGAATAGATGTTAGCTACTGTTACTATAAGGCCCCAAGGACATGCACCAACCTACAGTGTCTGGACTGATTCCAACTATTACAAGCTCTCAGGAACAGGCCAACTCCTGCACACCTCTCTGGCTTTAGCCTGTCTCTCCCTCAGAGAAGAGTCTCTGACCACCCTGAAAAAGGAAGGTCACCCAAACAGACAAGACCATGTGCCATTTTTCTTTTGTAACACTCATCCGAGTTATAATTAGAGATTACAAACTCTGTCATCCTTTTCCCTCTTTAGATTCTAAGCTGCATCAGGTCAGGGACTATGCCAGCTTTATCACAACATTCCCAACGCCATCACACTGCCTGGCACATAGGCAGTTCTCAATAAATGCTTCTTGAGTAAATGAAATGGAACTGCATTCACAGAGCTCATCACCTAGAGAGTCTTCATTCTGGGTGAAGTATTTTAAAAACAATTGCGGAAAAGTTACTTGTTTCCAGACACTGATGGGTTCATAATCTGTCAGCTTCTCTCTCTCCCTCTCTCTCTCACTGGTCAATTTGAAAAATCAGAGAAATGTTTTCTTTAGACATTGCTTTTAACAGATACTCTGGCACTTTAATGATTCCATAATGGAAACTGACTTGGGAACATGACAAAGCTCTATACATAGAAACTCCATCTCATCTGTTTTGGGCATTCTTTTTTTTTTAATGATTTTATTTATTTATTCATGAGAGACATACACACACACACGAGAGAGAGAGAGAGAGAAAGAGAGAGAGAGAGAGAGAGAGAGAGAGAGAGAGAGAGGCAGAGACACAGGCAGAGGGAGAAGCAGGCTCCATGCGGGGAGCCCAATGTGGGACTTGATTCTGGGACTTCAGGATCAGGTCCTGGGCTGAAGGTGGCGCTAAACCGCTGGGCCACCCAGGCTGGCCCTGTTTTGGACATTCTAACTTGTTTCGAACATCTCAATATAATTTGGCAGAAGGAAACCTGAACAATGTCACCTGCAGAATAACAATTTTCAATAACAGCATTTCCAGAACCCTGGACAGGAAGAGTCAGGGGTGAGTGAGCCAGGACTCTACACACTCTGCTGATGAAGTGTGACTCAGGTCACGTCTCATTCTGCCCTGTCAACCTCGAAGAGCTGCAGGGAAGATCAAATGGGATAATGTGTATGACCGCTCCAAAATCTGGGAAGTGACATAAGGTCTTGCACGACAGCCACTCAAGGCTTAAGTCTCACTGGCCGAAACAGATGGCTTAGGACTTAATACACTCTGGGGAACAAAGAAAACCTGGAGCCATCAGAGGTGGCACTTGGTGCCACTCAGCCAAGCCTCCCTCTAAATGAACTCCATGATGGCTCCAGCAGACACGGCGGCTACTTACATGGTGCTGCAAGCAGGCAGCCACAAGGACTTCCCCAATCAACACAATTCATTCTAGAGCAATTCATAACGTTAAGCAATGCTTTCTTAGCCTTCCCTCAGAACTTCTGTCTAAGGAGGCAGCTTGTAGGAATCTGCCAGCATGGATGAGTAGAGAAGGAATTCTTTAAAATACCTCAGCTATAGTTTTGGACTGAGGAGTGTAGGAAGGAGGATGACACAGCTTTTTGTTTTTTTTAATTCCCTCAAGCCAAGAGATTAGCTTCTAAAGCACACACCTAGCACCACAAAATTAGTTTAAAAAAAAAAAAAAAGAAGCTAAAGTCTGAGTGCTTAGTATGTGCCAGGCATTGTTCTAAAAGCTTTATATGAAAATAAATAAATAAATAAATAAATAAATAAATAAATAAATAAATAAATAAATAAAAGTTTAATATGTAGTAATTAATTTAATACTTCCCACAACCCTAGGGTATATGGCACAATTATTATACCCATTTTACAGATGAGTTAATTAAGTACAGAGCCTTTGAGTAAATTGCTCAAGTTCACAGACTAGTAAGTAGTGAACTTGGGATTCAAACCCAGCCGAGTCCAAGGCTAAGTCCTTTCTCTTTCCGCTATATAATATGGCCTCATGAAACAGTAGGTCTCTACTTTCCTTCCCACTGCTCACAGCCCTAATCCTGATCCAAAGACCCTCATCCACTTCATGCTTACATTCTGCCTCGCTCCTCACCCACTAGGACTTACTCTCTCAATTACAGTTTGTCTTGTGGACCCCAATTCCAGTATGGCTTTCACCTCTTACCTTAACTATGATTCATAATTTCCCACTGTGCTGTTTCCAACTTCCCTGGCTAGTAAAGTCACAGATCGCATCAAGGATTTCAAATCCAGACAGTTTCATTTCTTACTCATCTCAATCCTGCTTTTCTACCAAGAATCCCAGAAGTTCTTAGAACATGAAAAGATAGCATCTGACTTGCTGAGAGTTTTGCTAAAAGTCAATGCAAAACCAATTTCCTCTGCATTTTGTCTAGCTGGCAAGCACGCAGAGCCAGAGCTGTAATATAAAGTCTTACTGAAGATTTAATACATGCTCAATAAATGCTGATTGCTTCTGGCAGCTTTTCCAGCTATAGAGATATGCACTCCAAAGGTTTCTATTGCTGTAAGAGCCATTTGTAGCAGAGAGAAGTAAATGGCTATGGGACAGAGCAGGACACCCCCACCAGAGATACTGGAAGACAGTTGTTTTAATGCATTCAGTTTGGGAGAAAGGTCTCATGTGACAGATGTTCAGCAGGGAGGCCTAGCGCCTGCAGCCTACCTTCACTCCATCCAGTACCGCCTTGATGACCCCCTTCACGGTTGTCACCGTCTCTTTATCTTCTGAGTTTACACCTTCCAGCATCACTTGGTCAGACCAACGGATGAGGTTGGCAAGACTTTGGTACACTCGGCTATAGCAGGAGGAGAGGGCTGAGCTGGAGGAAGAGAAGAGTTTGTTAGGAACATTAAACAGCGACTGTTTAACACAGAACTGTTTAATACAGAACCAGTTTATTGGTGATGAGGGCACGTTTCTCAATTTTTCTAAGAGCCACACCTCCTTTTTGATAACAAACTGTCCCCACCCCCTGAACCTATGCCCTTACATCCAACAAATGCTGTACAGAGCTTTATATTTGAGTGTGTCATAAAATCTTTTTTCATTTCCCAAATATAACATAAAAATTCCATCGCTATAGTTTATATACTTCTTCAAACTTCACCCCTCCCTTGCAAGATTCTGGCCTCTGTTAAGGAGTGTCCTATTTTCCCCTCCTCCTCGCTGCTAATCATTAGTTAAAGCACCATACGCTTCTTATTTTGATCAGACGAACATGTTAAATGTATCACAAGGAGCCAACAGGTTTGCAGATTTTAGCAAGCAGGATCCTTTACTGAAACAGCCTCTAAACATAAGCTCCAACAAATCTGTAACTCACTAGAATTCCTTCTACCATGGGCTCAGCTTCATCATCCTCTGCACCATCTCCATGGCAGACATGCCAGAGCAGTGCTCCATTTCAAAAGCATGGCAAGACAACAGATGAGAGGAGAGGAGGCCTGTGGCTTGGTGGGGGGGGGGGGGGGAGAGGGGGAGGTGCCCACTGTACACTGGGATGCCCACACAGAGCAGAAGGCCCAGCAACTTCTGGACATCTCAATGATCAGAGAGGGGAGGCCCAAATGTAGATTTTTTAGATCTCCTACACAGTTTTGAATAACTAGAGATAATTTTCTCTAAAAATTATGGAAAAGATTATTTTTCCATTTTAAATATTATACATTATAAGAGAGGAAGAGCAAAAATATGGAAAAGTTGGGGGATTCTCCTTCCTCCACTGAAAAAAAAAGTGGGTAGAGAAAAAAAGTGAGGTAGACATTTAGGGGCCAAAGATAGAATTTTGAGAAAAAAGTATAATATTGTAAGATATGATTAAAACAAGTTCTAAAAGGGTGCCTGGGTAGTTCAGGTCATAATCCCAGCATCCTGGGATCGAGCTTCATGTGGGGCTCCCTGCTCAGCGGGGAGCCTTGATTCTCCCACTCCTGTTCCCCCTACTTGTGCACACGGTCTCTCTCTCTCAAATAAATAAAATCTTAAAAAAAAAAGTTCTAAAAACAAAGCTATTTAAAATAAAAAATCTGAACCAAACAATGCTCTAGTGAGAAGTTCTTCAAAATCAGGTAAGGAGGAAAAAGTTTTTCCAGGACATCTACAATTTCCATTCAGCCAGTCATTCCACTCTGTGCATGTTCCAACAGGAGAAAAGAACAGTCAAAGAATGAAAGCAACGCCTTGAGTCCCATTAGAAACAAGAACAATTTACCAAAGGGGCCCTGGGAGAGCCAGGGTTTGGCTGCCTCAGAGAGCGACAGGAGTGATAAGTATTGGGTGTTGGACCTACTCCCTTGGGAAGGAGAGTTGCTGGAGGGAGACAGGACCTCAGTCTTCCCTGGAGGCTGGACTGGAGGTGCTGGAAACGCACCACTAGCAACCCCCCCAAGCAACCCCGCCTTTTCCCTCCAGGTGGGACCAGGGGAGTCTCAGTGAACAAGGACTGGCTGCCTTCTGCCAGAGTGCCCGTGAGGGATTCCACCAAAGTGCCAATCACCCTGTTGAGCTATGAGCAAGGATTAGCTGAAAAGGAGGTGGGGAGATGCTTTCCCCTACTACTTAAATTCTACTTGCACCGGATGGTTAACGCTTCCCTGAGGGCACTTGACGAATCTGGCAACTGTGGCCACGCTTCACAGAATTAGCTTGGGAGCAGAAGATGCCTGTGTCAGGGGCTAAGGCCTTAAAAAGGAAGGAGGGTTCTGGACTGTGAAAATATCCACAGGACTAGTGACTGGTCAGTTTCTGAAATGGAGCGAAGCCATCAATACTGAAGGCAAGCATGGATTTTGTTCTCAACCGTCTCTGGGTGTTCCGCGCCTTCCAACACTGCTTACACTCAGCAATGCAGCCGTTTGTTCCAAAGCCAGCACACCACTGTCCCAGCTCCCTAGGGTAGGGCGACCAAAAGCCCATCAGCTAGGACACACTGCACAGAGAAAGCTCTGCAGAGAAGACAGGAAGACACTTTTCCAGCTTATAAACTGCACTGGAGGAACGAGATGACAGAAGGGATCGAAGAGGAAACTTCAAGGAAGAGCTGTCAGGGCGACCAAGAAAAATACTATCAGTTGACCTTGCAAGAATTTCAGGAAGAAAAGTCCTGGAAGTGGTATCAGCCAAAGAACTACCAAAAAAAGAGAGTCATTGCTCCTTACAGCCACATCCAGGTGTTTGGTTCTCTCTAGGAAAATGCTCTAGACATGAAATCATTTTTGTCAACTACAAAATAGCTGTAAAACATCACCATACACCAAAAATGCCCCCAAACCACTGTCCTATCGCTGATCCATTCCTCCAGTGTTGGTGCAGCTAGAAAGGAACCTCCCAGGCACAGCTGCGGGCTAACGCTCCAGGAGCAACAGTCCCAGCAGCCACACACATGCACTGTTCGCTGGACTCTCCCAGGGAGGCTCAGCACCCGACCTGAGGCTGGCGGGGCACAGCTCCGACTCCCCACTGTCCCTTGGTCAATGCCCCAAAGTGGTCACACTCTCCTGGCATGATTGCTGTGTCCCCGCCCTCCAGGAGCATCCCATGCCCTGCCAGCCCTTTGCTTTCCTTTTCCCTCCCCTACCCCAATGGCCAGTCCAATTCTCACCTTTCCTTCAGGCCCTGCTCCAGCAGCTCCTGCTCCAGGAAGTTTAACTGGGCCATGGAGCTCTCCTCTAACTCTCTCCTTTAAATCCCAACAGAGCTGCCACTTGGTACCATAAAATTAGTGCCTTATCACACACAGGGAAGTTGATTTTTTCCACTAGGTCCTAACTCTTCCGTGGTAGAGACCATCACACAAGTAGAGGTGCAGGAGAACAGTGCATCAAAAGCCATCCACACATCTGACCCTAGTATACCGTCGGGCACATCCCCTCAAAGGAGAACAGCACTGGGCCCTTCTATGAGCTGGGCACGAAGTTAACTACTAGAGAGAGACAGTCCTCAGTCTGGAGACCAGCACACAAATCATTCAGTGTGTGACACCTAGGTAGGGCACAACAGGACTCTCAGGCTCCTCCTCTGGGCCAGGAGCACAGCCTAGAGAAGTGAAGACTGTAGCGGGGCAAAGCCATACCAATGTTTTATCCTCCATGACCAACTGACTCAAAGAGTACAATCCACAAGGGTCAGCTGAGACTCCAGGGCAGAAGGCCCAGGGCAAAGAGCTTCTTAGAAATAAAGACACTGTTTGCACTATCTCCTAGAAGAAGAAAACCATGCACTTCGCTGCCAAGTTCTGAAAGCGGTTCATAAAAGCTCAGTCTCACAGGGCTGTATGAACATTAAACTACCTCAAGGACCTGAAAACAGAGATGCGTTTATCCTGAGCAGGTACCAGAAAAACCAAGCCAGTAGGCATCTGACAGCCTCTCAAAGAAAAAAGCGCCTGCTAGGCTCTCACTTAAGACTACATTTAATATTCCTTTCCTTTCTGTACTTAACAACAGAGATGGGGGCAAGTTGCTCCCAACCTTCAAGGGAAAAGTGCACTCCAGCAACAAAAGCAATTCTCCACTCCACATACCTGGCTTCCAGTGACTCTGGGCACTGTCTGGGACAGCCTGGCTTGCCACAGTTAAATGTTTCATGAATCCATGCTCTAATGGGATTCTTCTTTACCTCTTTTGGCCTAATCAGCTACGCAGTCAAGGTCTCTACCAGGCTAGGTGTTAATAGGGCTTAATGTCTCTATATGCCATGGGTAAGGAAGGGGACTAGAAATGTATCCAAATCCATCTGATTACTGCCGATGACCTAAGGCCAAGAAACAACCACAGACTTCTGTGGCTACAGCCCTAGCAAGGACAGAGATCTCCATTGGTGTCAAGGCTTCATGAGCGATGACATTAACCTTGGGAGAACATCCATTCATAGCCGCGAAAGGCAGGGAGAGGGCTCTTTTCCCTCCCAGAGCTCTTCTCTATTCCCAGAAGCCCATATTTTGAAATGCTCCCAAACCAAGACACTCAGAGGCCTCTCTTGCTCTGACACAGCCAACGAGTTCAGGGAAACTCACCTGTGTTGAATTCGAGGATCGCTCTGCACCAGGGGTAAGATGGCCTCCAGCACCTTGCTGGCTGACCCTGGCAGCATCTCCAGTACCTTCTTATCAATAGCCATCTTGTCCACGATAGTCTTAAAGTAGCGCAAGGCACTAACAACTTCCTTCTCTTTCTCTTCCAGCCAGCTCAGGTTCTGAAAGGAGATGTTGAGCATAAGGAGGGAGAAGAAAGATTAATGGGAGCTGTTTTGGAAAAATAAAGTATGATTTCCTATAAACTAGCTTGAGATCGATGCAAACAGTAAAGGCTTCTTATTGCAGAAACAAAGTCAAGTTACTTTCTAAGGTCTGCAGTCAGGAGAGAGGCTAGTCTTGAAGGAAGGAGGAGGGAGCCTGGACCAAGACAGTTCATTTAGATACTCCTGAATTCCCTTCCTCGTTCAGAGCCTGATGTGGCCTGAGGTTCTGAAAATTGCTTCTCTTCCTCTAACCACACTCCTCTAACACCACTAATCTCATTAGGCATAGGGAGGACTAATTTGCTGATGGCTATAGGAAGCTTACAGAACTAACAGTTAGGTCCCATGGTGCTTATCTATCCAGTAAATCAAATCAAGAAATCCCAAGGTGAGACAGTCAGAGGCCATTTATGTCCAAAACCCATTCTCCCAGGACTCCTCATGAGATTCCCACATTCAACCCAAAGATGTAGTCCCTACTCAATGAAATGACATGGCTCTCTCAAAGGGTCTAGAAAACCCAGGGTTTGAAAGGGGGGATGGCTCTGGGGTGAAAAGGTGAAGAAACCAGAGCAGGGGGCAATGATTCAATCACTACTCGTGTAGCAAATGATAACAGCATTCAACAGTCCCTGTTCCTGAAGAAAGCCCAGCTAGGACGAAAATAAAATACAGAGCCCTGAACTTACCAGTATGCAAATTCCCATGCCCAAATTTTTTCTCCTTGACTACAGGATACCTCGAATCCAGTCAGTGGGCACACACTGCCCCCCCTTGGTTCCCTTCCCCAACCTCCCTCTCTATTGGCTCTAATATCATTGACCCAGGTCCCAACTGGCTGGTAGGGAAGGGAGAGCAAGGACGATCTATAAAATGGTTAAATCCCAAAATGGATAATACACCCAAGTAAAACTGATCGCATGTCCACTGCAAATTATCATCGCTGTATAGGAGGAAAACTGCCACCTGTGGGCTCTTTGGGGTCCAGTGAATACATAAATAAAAGCAACCAAAGACAAGAAAAATGTTTCTAGAAAAAGTTGATTTAAACAATAATCTATAAATAAATGATAGATAATAAGTGATGATGATTCAGAACACTAGCTCTTTTCTTCTTAAACAATGGGGAAGGTTTAGTTAAAACGTTCTACACTGGAGGCATTTAACGTGTAGGAATATCAAAAGACAGATATATAAATGGGATCATGAAGTAGATAGATTCTTCGGTCAGTCAACTTCCAAAGACCTGATTCACTTTCTCTCAAAGGGGTACTTCCCCAAAGGTGGTCTGTAGACCTCAAAGATGAAATTCTCTAAGAGGGGGAACCCTTCCCTGCCCCTATCACTGGCCTCTTTATTCTCACCTTTTTTCTTTTTTTCACGAGTAGACATGTTTATTTACTGTGTTTCCAAGAGGCCAGGCTCTTGTTTCCCACCTCATGGACAAGAGCTCTCTGCTTTGTCATTACCTGCCAGGGCCAGAGAGAACGTGACTATGAAGGATTTATACTTAGACATCAATGTGATGAAACCCCAGCTGGCCAGTCTGGCTAGAGGGTCCCTGACCACAGCCCTGCCATCTCAGCACATCAGGACGTGTTTGGAGCCAGGGATGACGAAAGATGGGGAGGAAGCGGGAAACATTATAAGAAAATGTGTCATCAGGTTTGCTAGGGAGAAAGGGGCTGACGTGGAGATGAGAGGCACCCAAAAGGGGAAGGAAGGCACTTCTGAGCAAAAAGAATCTTCCTGTCATTTGCAGAGAGATCAAATGTGCCACTGAAGAGCCAGGCTGCCCAGGGCTCCTACTAAAGGAACCATCAACTTAGCAGCATCAGGTCTTATCCATTAACTGTCTAGCAAATTACACTTCCAGAATCAATGGCCTCTGAGCACTATCCATTCACAGCACCTCTGCTCCTGAACAGCTATCTATGGCTGGTCAACTCTGGGCTTCTTGCAAAATGCAGCCAGCAGTCAGAAGAGTTTACAGAGAGACACCTAGACAGAGCACGTGCTAGAATTGGGAACCCAAAAACTTGGTTCTGCTGGAGGCTCCCAGTTGCACCATCTCTGAGGCAGGTGCCTGTCTCCACCAGGGCATCCCTTCCCGCTGTGGGGGTGACACCACCATCAGGCCACACACCTGAAAAGGGTAGTGGTGCTGGGGGAGGCTGAGACCCGAAGCCACTGCTGGGCTGGGGAACCACTGGCCTCAGGCTCCTCATCTGCAAAATGGGGAGGATAATACCTAATCTGGGTAATCTAAAGAGCCTGATGTGGGGAAGTGAATGAGAATGTACAACAAAGTTTATAAAATAAAACCAGATTTTGATCAAGGAAACTTGGACCAGAGCCCAAACTCTGTATATTAGGAATAATAAAAGCTTGTGCATGCAGTTATGATGAGTAAATAAGACAGGATGTGAAATCACCTAGGACAGGGCCTGGGCAAAGAGAGTCCCTCAGTAAACTGTAGATGAATCTAAATCTATGCTTCTATCGACTGAGCTGCAATTTCCCACATATTTAAATAGGGAATGCTGGGGCACCCAGCTGGCTCAGTCAGTACAGCATATGACTTGTGATCTCAGGATCATGAATTCAAGCCCCATGTTGGGTGTGGAACCTACTTAAAAATAAATAAAGATAAGGGCAGCCCGGGTGGCTCAGTGGTTTAGCACCGCCTTCAGCCCAGGGTGCAATCCTGGAGACCTGGGATTGAGTCCCATGTCGGGTTCCCAGCATGGAGCCTGCTTCTCCCTCTGCCTATGTCTCTGCCTCTCTCTTCTCTCTCTCTCTCTCTCTCTCTCTCTCTCTCTGTGCCTCTCACGAATGAATAGAATCTTAAAAAAAATATTAAAAAAATAAACAGGGAATGCCATACATATAAATTGGGATTAAAATGAGAACATATATGGAAATATTCTCTAAGAAGTAAGAGCTAATTAGTAATTAATAATGACAGCAAATGGGGATCCCTGGGTGGCTCAGCGGTTTGGCGCCTGCCTTTGGCCCAGGGCACGATCCTGGAGTCCCGGGATCGAGTCCCATGTCAGGCTCCCGGCATGGAGCCTGCTTCTCCCTCCTCCTGTGTCTCTGCCCCTCTCTCTATGTCTATCATAAATAAATAAATCTTAAAAAAAATAATAATAATGACAGCAAATGATGAATGTATCTTCAGATTTCTCCAACAGCATCTTCTAAGTTCTCACATGTTGGCAGATTCCCCAATACTTCCAGGTCTGCCTGTGAGCTTCTACTAAACAACAGGTTTGTACCCAGGTCATTTTGGACAGCTGACTTGGGGCAGAGCAGAGTAATTCAGCCCTTCTTAAAGGGTAATTCAGCCCTTCTTAAAGGGTACCCTTCTTAAAGGGTAACCAAACCAGAGTAACATTCTTCCCTGGGCCAAGGCGATACCCTCAGTTCCCTGCTACACAACAGGGATTCTCAGTCTTGGCACTACTGACATTTTGGGGTGGAGAATTCTCTGTTGTGAGGAGGGCTGTCCTGTGTAGGATGTTTACCAGCATCACCGGCTTCTACCCACCAGATCCAGAAGCATCTGCTTCACCTTTCTAGTGGTGACAACCAAAAGTGTCTCCAGACATTGCCAATGTCCCCTGGCATTTGCAGGAATGCACACAAGTGAAAGACACTTTCACAATGAATGTTCCCCCGTGACCTCTCTTGGAGTAATGAAGGAAGGGGGAAAATTCCAAGAACCGAGTGGCCCAAACAGTCTCTTATCAGAGTTGACTAGGAGACACGGTTGTTCTAAGTCATGTTATTCTGGGCTGCCTGCACTAGCGCTACATGACCACGGATGCTCTGCTTGGGGTTTTTGTTCGTTTGACCAAACTCAGTTCCAAGGAGCTGCTGAACAGACTAAACCAGAAAAATCTCTATGGTGCACACCAAATCTCCTACTTTCTTCCTCCTCTGCAGTGCAGAATTTCATCAATCTGGCAAACACTGAACATTTTACTCTTCCTCTTCAGCCTCCTTTTGCTAATGGATGAAGCAGGAAACAGGGTTATTCGACAAAAGACTTCTGGACTTCGAACTTTAATGTTCTCCACTTTTAACTAGAATTTTAAGATATTTTGCTAGTTAAAATAAAAACAAAAATATAGGTACGCTGCAAAATTCAAGAATTATGTTTATATAATGGGTCAGTGTTTGCCAGTGACGTTTAATTGATGGTTGTGACAACAGTTCTACTACCCACTATGCTGTGGACAATCACTGGAGCATTAGGATTATATTTCTCTACAAGGTTTATTTTTATTTTACATTGCTAAAGTTAATTTTCCTTTTATGTTTAGTGTGAGAGTTAACATTTGGATTTGTGGGCCATTCAAAAAATAAATTCTGGCTTTCATAAAGAGGAAACATAGCATCTCGAGGGTTTTGACTTGCATGTCAGATGGCCTGAGCTCAAATCAGGCCATCACTACCTTTCCTGCGTGACGGTGGCCAATGCTTCCTACCTCTACAGCCTCAGCTTCCACTTCTGCAAAATAAGTTTCCATCTCTCAGGACTATTATGAGTGTTTAGTAAGAGAGTAAAAGCATAAAGCACTGAGCATGGGGTGAGGAAAAGCCTGGATAAATGTTAGCGGCACAAAAGGTATCACTGGCTCTGAGAGTGCTTGGCTCTGAGTACTTGGTTCTGTGTGCTCTCACCACATAGGCTTGCTAGACATCTAACACAGCACCTTTTACTGAAGATGCCCCTCCCTGTCCTAACTATTCAGGTCATCTTAGTAACTCAAGGAAAGAAGAGCTAGTCTTGAGAGATGAGACTCACCCATTTCCCCCAGAACGCACTGGACCCAAGGAGCACACCCAAACCAACCCTGGAAAGGACCCCCAAGCTTTCATCATGGAGTGCTGAGCTCCCTCCAAAGACCACAGGGGCTTGGATAAACTCTTAATTTTTACCCAAGGCCCCTGAACTATTTCCTGAACAATGAAGCCCATAGTCACCACCCACTCGAACACATGGATATTGCAATAGATTTTTCTTTCCATCCCCAAAACCATGGCCCAGGATTCTGCAGTAGAAGGCAAGGCAAACCCAATTGTTCTTAGCATCACACTGACCTTCTGCCTCTGAGACCTGGAAGCCACAGCACTGGTGGACATAAATTCTACTGCCTGCTGCTCCAGATCCAAGGGGAGAGGGTAGCCCTCTGGTAGAAATCTGTCTGTTGCCTCCTGGAAGAGAGGAAACCTGGATTCCTACAGAGCTTGAAATGGCCGTTTGAGGCTGAAGGGAGGGGTTGGTGAACATCTACCGCTGTTTCGACATATCTGACTTGACTGGTACTGCTGAGGTTACTCGTGTTTGAGGACATCCTTGGCCGGGCTTCAAGGATTTGGCATGTCTCAGAGCATGGGCCCTAAAGCCAAATGAAGGATGTTCTGTATGTCACAAGCCTCCAAGTGTGTGCGTGCCAGGGCAACATGGGGCTGTCTGGGGAAGGGAGGCAGCATTGTGGGGTGTAAACATGGTGTGCTGAGCTGTTTTAAATGCCCAGAGGGTAACACATCTGGAAAAGGGGAACTGTTCTTGCCGAATGAACTCGACTCCGATTAACAGGAGAAACACTCACCATCCTAAAGGCTCATATTTTACAAGGATGCTGAAGGCCCCTGCCTGGAAGCATGGAATGCTATGGAGTAGGTGTTCTGCACTGAAAGTTGAATCCCCAGGGAATGAACTTAAGAACAGCACAAACTCATACTGCTCGAAGTAGGCGAAGGCCAGAAGGAACACCTAGAGAGAGTTGGCTTACTTTACTAACAGGCTTCTCCGGATTTTTCACAGAAACTTCAGCTGGTTTTCCCTTCTTTGATGGCGTTCTCTTGATTTTGGGTGAGTGGAATTTGTCCTTCAGCTTCATGGTGAAGGAGGAGAGGTGAGAACGCTGAGAATCTGAAAACAAAGAGGGTACTAATGGTTAGAAGCAGGGTAGGAAGGAGCTGTGCTCCACTGACCTTTTGTGGAGACAAGCATCATCCCTAAACAAATTTTCCCTGGCTGTTTAGAGTTGCAAAGGAAAAGAAAGACCGATCTATTGAAACACTTCTGCTTACACAATTTAATTTCTGCAATTTCCATGTAAATTAGGTTGTTCAGAATTGTGGAAGTCAAAGGCAGTCAAAATAGCTATGGAAAAAGAACTCGCAAATATTTCCAGTGTCTTCCATGGAGTTTGTATGGTGAGCTAACCAAAGTCTAAGGGAACTAAGAAGAAAGAATATTAAAGTAGAATCGCGATGTGTAGGATGAATGAACTGGAAAGAAAGGCTCTTTTGAATCAACCTTCTGATTTTTGTTAGTTTAGGGAATAGCAGTAAGTGTCATGGGCAAGGCCTCAGAGTTGGCACTGGAGACTGAAATAGCACTAAGGAGTTCAAAATCTTCTGGAACACAGTGAAAGACTGGATGGTTTCTCTTCAAGATCAGGAACAAGCCCTGGGTGTCCATTCTTGCCATTCCTATTCGATATTGTACTCCAGTACCCTAACAAAAGCCATCTAGCTTGGGAAGGGAGACATAAAACTCAATTTGTATTAAAATGAAAAAAAAAAAAAAACTCAATTTGTAGATGACCTTATATATGGAAAATCACAAGCAATCCACTAAAAAACTATTAGCACTAATAAACCAATTCAGTAAAGTCACAGGATACAAAGTCAATATACAAAAGTTTGTTGGATGAATGAATCTTCAAGACATTATACTGAGCAAAACAAGCCAGCCACAGAAAGATAAATAATGTGTGATTCTACTTACTTCAAGGTATTTAAGGTAGTTAAAAATCATAAAGTCAGGGGCACCTGGGTGGCTCAGTGGTTGAGCGTCTACCTTTGGCTCAGGGTGTGATCCCAGGGTCCTGGGATCAAGTCTTGCATTGGGCACCCCACAGGGAGCCTGTTTCTCCCTCTGCCTATGTCTCTGCCTGTCTCTCTGTGTCTCTCATGAATAAATCAATAAAATCTTTTTAAAAAATAAATAAATAAACCTAATTTTTCACTTGTTTCTCAAAAAAAAAAAAAAAGTTTGTGGGATTTCTATATAGTACAAATGAATGCTCCAAAACAACATTTTAGGAAGCTTCCATTTAGGGACATCTGGATGCTCAGTTGGTTAAATGTCCAACTCTTGATTTTGGCTCAGGTCATGACTCCCAGGGTCGTGAGATCGAGCCCCATGTTGGGTTCTGCGCTCAGCACAGAGTCTGCTTAAGATTCTCTCTCTCCCTCTCCTTCTCTCTCTAGAATGAATGAATGAATGAATGAATGAATGAATAAAATAATAATAATAGCTTTCATTTACACTACAGGGAACTGATGATGGTTGCCAGAGGGAAGGGGGATAGGAAGATGGACAAAATGGGGTAAAAAGAGAGGGAGACACACAGGCTTCCAGTTATGGAATGACTGAGTTGTTGGAATTAAAAGTATAGCATAGGGAATATAGTCAATGATATTGTAATAATGTTTTATGGTGATGGATGGTAACGATACTTGTGAGCACAGCATCTCTACGTGCTATGCTGTGCTCACAAGTGTATCACTATGTTGTACACCTGAAACTAGTATAACATAACACTGTATGTCAACTATATGTCAATAAAAACAAAACAAAACAAAACAAAAAAAGCTTCCATTGATAATATCATCAAAAAGAATAAAATACTGAGGCATATAATTAACACAAGTGCAAGACATACACTAAAAACTCTAAAACATTTTTTTAAAGATTTTATTTATTTATTCATGAGAGAGAGAGAGAGGCAGACACAGGCAGAAGGAGATGCAGGCTCCATGCAGGGAGCCTGATGTAGGACTTGATCCTGGAACCCCAGGATCATACCCTGAGCCAAAGGCAGATGCTCAGCCACTGAGCCACCCAGGCATCCCTAAGGCCAATCAATTCTTAAAAGGGTGTCAGGCCATTCAATGGATGAATAAATGCTCTTTTCAACAAATGGTGCTGGCAATGACTGTGGATATTTCATATATAAAAGAACAAGAATGAATCTGGACCCTTATCTTACATCATATACAAAAATTAACGGATCAAAGATCTGAATGTAATAGCTAAAACTATAAACTATAGAACAGTTTATTTATAAACTATAAACTTTTAGAATAAAACACAGGGATACAATTTTTGTGATCTTGGGTTTGGTAATGGTTTCTTAGGATGCAAAAATCCAAGTGACAAAAGAAAAATCGGATGAACTGGACTTCATCAAAATGTAAAACTTTAAACTAAACTTATTGTGGTGATCATTTTGCCATACATACAAATATCAAATCATTATGCTGTACACCTAAAACTAATATGATACTATATGTCAATTAAAATGTTTGTGCTACAAATGATACCACCAAGAAAGTGAAAAGACAAACTATAGAATGGGAGAAAATATTTGCAAGTCATATACCTGATAAGGATCTGCATACAGAAAATATAAACAACTCTTAAAATTCAACAGGAGACAAATAATCCAATTAAAAATGACCAGGGGATTTCAATAGACATTTCTCCAAATAAGATAAACAAAAGAGCAATAAAGATAAGAAAAAATGCTCAACATCATTAATCATCAGGGAAATGCCAAAACCAACTTAAGTTTCTCTTAAAACCCACTAGATATTAATAAAAAAAGACATGTAATAACAAAGTATTGGTGATGGTTGGGGAACTGGAACCCTCCTATATGGGTTACCAGATGACCCAACAATTCTATTCCTAGTCATATACCCAAGAGAAATGAAAACATGTATCCATATGATTCGTACACAAAAGTTCACAGCAGCATTATTCATACAAATCAATAGGTAGAAATAACTCAAATGTCCATAAATGAATAAATAAAATGTGGCATAAGCATACAACAGAATATTGCCTGACAATAAAAAAATAAAAATAAATCCTGACACCTGCTACAACATGGATGAATCTTGATAATATAATGCTAAGTGAAAGAAGCCAGTCACAAAAGACCATTTATTGTATCTTCCAATTTTTTGAAATGTCCAGAACAGGCATATTTATAGGGATGGAAGGTAGATTAGTGGCTAAGAATAAGGGAATGGGAGAGGGAAGGAGAGATGGCTTGCTAATGAATATGAGATTTCTTTTGGTGGGGAGAAATAAATATTCTAAAATTAGAATCTGGTGATGGTTGCACAAAAATCCAGTGAATTCTAAACACACACACACACACACACACACACACACACACAGCATTCTACACTTTAAATGAGTCAATTGTATATGTGAAAAGCAAAAACCTACTGAAGACTTCCTTCATTTCACCATTTACCTCAGTGTTTTTCAGTGTCGGAAATGATCTTATCAAGTCATTAATTAATGTGCTTGTCTCCTCACAAGAATGCAGACTCAGTGAGGACCATACCTGCCCTGTTCATGCCTACATCCCCAATGCTAACAGGGTACCTGGCCCACAGAAGATGCTTAGTAAACATTCATTCAACAAATGAACAAATTAACCAATCAGAAAATACTCCACAAAAAGGACTGCTTTTTTTGATACTATATAAAATTCACAGAAAATACCTGAAAGTGGTTGAAAATTAGGGAACAGAACATGACCCTTTGCAATGGAAAAAGAAAAGAACTGTAGTTTTAAAACTACAAAGCACCCCCCCTTCAATTTTTCTACCTATTTACTTACTAAAACACTCTTCTAAATAAATGACATAGCACCCTGTGCTACAGGCCCGTCACTGTGTCTATTATTACTGCATGTGGCTTCATTGGGACAAGGTTCAATTCCTGCATCAAAGGCCTTCTAGGTAGCTGGCAACTTCAGATAATCTATCTGCTCTTTGCAAACTTCCTAGAAGCCCACTGCACTCTGGACCAAAGAGAAAAGCCAGAGCCTGACCTTTGCTCACATGCAGAATCAAACCAAACATGATTTTGTAGCTGTTTGTCTGCTGGCAGGAAGCCCTCCTTGGACCCAACAGTGTATAGAAATCTTCAGGGAGCTGGTGCACCTCTCTCCTCATATGGAACAGCTCAATGTAGGGTGAGGAGGGGCTCTCAGCACCTGTCCTTATACACCAGGCATCCCTGGGATTCAAAGCAGGTGAACTGGCATGGCACAGTTTCTCTACCTCTCCTCTTCTTTGCCTCTTCTTCCCCACCCAAGCAGGGTAGGTCCCCTATACAGTTTATACTTTCTTCTTCATACTTCAAAATGATGTGACCAGTCTAATACATATGGTGGTGAAAGGTTGAGCTCTGTAGTCAGACTGTTTGGGTTAAAATACTTCAAAGGGATTGATAACGTTCGTGAGATGGCCGGTGTGATAAAGAAGAAATGAGGCGCTGCCTGTGGCTAGTGCACTGAGGTTCTTATCCAAGGGCTGGGCACACAGTGCCTCTGCACAGGGCACTAACCCAACTACATAAATTGGATGGGTCACAGGGTTGATCAAACTGAATTCTCAGCTCCTATCTGCTTACAGATCTGAACTAGGCTATGGTACAGCACTGAATTTTTAACTGATGAGCCTAAGAAACTGAGGGCCTTACAAATGCCATCCTCCTTTCCCCTAGCACAGACCAGAAGTCTCCATCTGGCTCTTCTACCCTACCTGTCTGTACTGCTGCCTGCCTCAGGATCCTTACAGTCACAGCACTGACCAGGCAGGTTTCCAAGCCTGAAGGGATGTTAGAGAGATGTACTAATCCGTGCAACTTCCACCCTGAGCAACTAAGACTGAAAGTAGGGCTAGAAAAGCAGATGCAAATGGGGAAGTCTAGGCAGGATGCATGGTTTGTTTGGTGGCCAAAGACCTCTAGAGACCTGGGCTGGGCAAGCCAACTTCCGCTTTTGCCTGTCTGCTACCCTGAGGTGCTGTACTGACAGGCCAGATTCACACCTC